AAGGCATGAACAGTACTGTATCATGTGTTAGAAAACTGTGTATGGAGCGTGTTTTTGGTTTCCTGCAGATATTCCAAAGTGGCGCTCTGCCTGGTCAAGGCTGTGCTGGATGATGGGGTGGAGGAGGGCAGGGACACAGATATGTGGAAGCAGGACTGTGACCTCTCTAGGGACAAAGCCTTGACAGAGCCCTGGGAGTCCCCCTTGTGGGGGTCTGGGAAGGAAGCCTCTGACAAATCTGGAACTGGTTGGGAGTCCCCTCCTCCCTGCCCTGACTCTGGTGGTCTCCCCCTCTAACTTAGGGAAGTGGAATGGATCAGTCCTTTTGACTGGCTTCTCTCGGTGTCCTGAGTTCTGATCAGCAATGACAGAGATGTAGCAGGCCCCGGGACAGTAGAACACTGCCTTGACCTCCCACTTCAGCCCTGTGACCTTCTTTGCCTAGAGGACACACAGGCCTGCATGGACCCAGCCTCCACATGGATTGCACAAGGGCCTACTCCACATCATGGGGAAGGTGAGCCCAGCCTCTTGTATCATTCAGCAACCTATGATACTCATTGGCCGTTCTAACTATCTAAAACCCTTAACTGCCACCTGCCCAGAAGCCCCTTCCATGTTTCTCTCCTGACACTTGCACACCAGGATAGGTATATGGCATCTCAGGCGAGACCTGAGCAGGGGCATGGCTGTGCTGTGCTGACCAGTCCTGGCTGTCCTGTGTTACCTTTGGCTTCTTCCAGGCAAATGTCCAGGGGTGTCGGTGACGAAGTCTGACCCAGTGCCTCCAGCACTGCCAAATGCCCTCAGCCTGGTGTGTGCGGAGGCCTGAAGCTCGGGAACGGAGGACACAGTGTAGAAACATGCTGCTCCCTCAAGCATCTTTAGAGGAATGATCCTGGTAGGGCTGTTACTGGAATCTGGACGCCAGGTTACCAGGGTTCCGGGTTCTGTTGGGGTCTGCTGTCAAGTAAGTGAGGCTTCACTTCCTGGGCTCTTCTTCCTGGTCTCCTTGCCTTGAACAACAACATCTGAAGGTCTCGTACAGTACCAATTGCTCCCCTTCCAACCTGGGCCATGTCCACACTGTGCACCCACACAGACACCCTCAGGGTACTTAGCAGGGTCTGGCTGCAGTCAGTGCCACAAGAGTGGAGAGACAGAGCTGTTGTTAGACCTGTCATTCTTTTCAACCACTTGGACAGATCATGGTGCCTCTAGGAGGTTCCCATCCCTGTGTGCTGACAGGATCACTCTGGCATCTGTTCCCTATGGGGAGTCATGCCCTGACTGACCTGTAAATCCCCATATTCCCTGGAAAACCAAGGTCTGAGGTCATAAACATATCACAAATGCATAGAGATGAAGAATTAGCAAAGGGAGAGTCCAAGAGAAACCCAGCTCTGACTAGATCTGATTCTTCCTCTTGGTCCAGGGAGAATCACTTCCTGTCCTGGCCTCATGTCTTCATCCTCTCCATGAGAAGCATGAGGTTAAGTGAAACTTACACATCATCTTCCTCTTTCATGAACCTTCCATTCTGTCGTGTTATCTTGGGAATTGTTGTTCTGTGTGGTCAGGAGGCACGATGGTTTCCAGATTTCTGCCCCTGGTACCAAGCTGTGCAATTCCTTCCCCTTAAGAGATGCCTGAATGCAGTTTCTCCCTTATAAGGAATAAAATATCAGCACGTATGAAAGAAAGGTATTGTGTGTATCTACTCCACATATACCAACTATCCGCACTCTATTGTAGAGAGCGACATATTGGAGGACATAAAAGCAGTGAAGATACTTAACGAGGATAAGACAGAGTGGAATAGGTGCGGGGA